TCAATCCTGGTGTAATACAGCGATTCCCAAACATTTTTTTTATAAGCTAAACACATTTGAGCTAAAATATTTACCCCTGAGATTTTAAGTTAATATTTCAATAAATGATCAGCACATTCACATGTTCACGGTTCTCTGATATCGGTTTATGGTCACATGACATGCAGATAAACTAATAAAATATGTCTTGTCTTAAAATGTTTTATTTTGATTTGTTGTTATCATAAAATTTATTTATTTGAATTTAACATTTTTATGATTTTATTTTTAGTAAGCATATTATTTTTTATTAAAATGTTAAATTTTTGATTAAATACTTTTTTATTAAGTGTTGTTTTATTTTAAAATTATTTATTTCAACTTTTAATTTTTATTATTTAATACATTTTTAGTAAGTATTTTATTTAGTTTCTTTTTATTTTAAATTTATTCATTTAAATTTTACATTTTTGTTGGTTAATGGTCACATGACATGCTGCTAAACAAATAAAATATTTCATATTAAGTGTTTTATTTTTATTTGTTTTTACTTATATTGATTTAATTATTTTAATTTAACATTACAATTTAATGTTTATTAAATGCTTTGCTTTTATTTTAAAAATATTGGTTACATTTTTATGATTTCATTAATTTATTGTAACTGTTTTATTTTGTTTGTTTTTATTTAAACATTCTTTCAAAATTTCATTTCTATGGTTTAATTAATAGTCAGTTTTTTGTTTTATTTTGTGTTTATATACCTTTTATTTAAAACTTATTTAAATTTTACTATTTGATTTCATTTTATGTAAATGTTTTTATTTTAAAATAATTTATTACAACTGTTAATTTTAGTGATTTAATTATTAGCTTTCCATCAACTCATGAAACTCTTCTGAGAAACGCTGCTGTAGTTAAACAGTTTAAAGTATATTAAATGTTAAATATGCATTTCTAGGATTGAATTATGCTGAATAGAGTTTACGTAGATTACAGTCTTTGTTCCTGATGTATTGCTCCGTGTGTTCATTTGGTTTCGTTGAATTGCTCGGATGTTTCCTGGAAGTCAGACGCATGAGTGTGTGGAGCTACAGGAACAACTCATTTCCCATCATTCCTTCAGCATGATCGGTGTTAGCATCAGTGTCTGATGACCTTTAACCCGTCTGATGTGTGTCCTGTCTCAGTACAAGAGCATTCCTGAGCTGTGCCGAAGACACGATGGAGCAAACGACGAGAGACAAGGTACTGAAGTAGCTTCATTCATGAGTCATTCAGATCTATACAGGAGTCACACGTGTGCGAACCACAGTATTAGAGCCCGACCGATATATCGTTTTGCAGATGTTATCGGCCGATATGAGCCTGTTGCCGATATATCGGTACCCGGCGAATATGCCGCCGATATGAAATTTTTTTTACAGAACATATAACGCAGATAAAAATGTTTGAAATGGTGTAATTACTAAGTTTGTCCAGCAGAGCGCGCTCCATTGTTTGCTACTGGCGACCTGGATGAAACGCTTTAAAGCTTAAGTCTATGGAAAACCATTGAAACTTTGAACGGCCATATCTCTGTAACGACGCGGCGAATCCGCACCAAATTCAGGGGATCCCTTCAGCTCAAGGAACCCTTTCGAACGCGAATCGAGTGTACGTCTAGAGGCACGCATGAGATCTTTCAAATGAGATCACCCCCGCGTCGATACCCCCCGGGGTTCTGGAGTTACGGGTGGTTAAATTCGCGGTCCAACGTCGACCAATCAAGCGATCCCGGGGGGCTACCGACGCGCGGAGGGTGGCGTTCGAGAGGCTCCTCGAGCTGAAGGATCCCCCGAATTTGGTGGAGATCCGCCGGCGCGTTCGCGAGATAGTGACACCAGCCAACACTTTCCCTTCAGTAAGGAGGTCTCTTGTTCAGGCAGCATTCAAGCGTGGTCTTATTCGACCGTAAGCGCCCTGCGAAGTGGACTTCACATGAAATTCTGCCATGATTCCAGTTCCAAGGGAACGTACGCGTTACATTCAGAGTATTTATGTGAAGACAGTAGCACAAATCCGTGAATGAATGTTCCGAAGTGAAATAAACTTCAACGGAATAAAGTTGAATTGAATTGAATTAAAGTTGAATAAACTTCAACTTTACTGTTCAGTGCACTGATGTCAGACTCATTTTGGATAATAAAGTTTATTGTTAAATTGTTAAATACCCTGCCTCCATTACATATCTCTGTCACGTCATTATAAGTGTTTGATCACCACATCTGAGTGATCATTGCAAAGAATGTGTTTATGTATGTCTATACTGTATTCTATATATAGTACCAGTCAAAGGTGTGGACCCTCGAATGGGAAAGTGTCCAAAATTTGACTATACTGTACTATAATATACACAAAGAATATCGGCCGATATATATCGGTATCGGGCTTTTTTACTCCCTAATATCGGTATCGGCCCCAAAAAACCCATATCGGTCGGGCTCTAAACATTACTATTGCCTTCTGTAGAGCTGCTTCATAACTGCAGCTCAATTAAGAATCAGATTTGTTGAACTTTTCAACCTTCACACTGTTATTGGACTCCATTGAATCAACACTAAACTGAATTGAGCTGAATTAGGACTCTATTGTCTTCTGTAGAGCTGCTTAACAGCTGAAATTGAATTTGTCTGATCTATAATGACGTTTGTATCATTTATTCTGTTCTTTTGTTGTTTATTACTCTGATGCTGCTTTGAGACAATCTGTTTTTATTTTAAAATAATTTATTTAGACTTTTTTTTACTTTTATGAATTATTTAATTTTGAGTGTTTTTCTTTTAAACGTATTTAAATTGTACCTTTTATTTAATTTTGTGTAAGTGTTTTATTTTGCATAATTTTACCAAATGAATTTATTTCAGCTTTTAATTTGTATGACTTGTTAACTCGTGAGACTCGTTTGGGAAACACTGCTCTAGTTAAACAGCTTGATGTGGATATTAAAGTTATAAATATGCATTTATAGAATTATCGATTCTGTTATTTTCTTATTTATTACTGCGAAGCTGCTTAGTACAGTCTGTTTCTATTTTAATATTTCTGATTTGATTAGTTTTTAGTGTTTTTTATTTTTTTATTTAATTTTAGTCAGTGTTTTATTGTGTTTGTTTGTTTTTATTTTAAAATTATTTAATTTATGATTTAATTATTAGCGTAGATACAGTCTGTGCTGTATAAAGCGCTATAGAAATAACCCTGACTTGTTACAGTGATTGTAAACGCAGCTCATTCGGTTATGGGTCCTTTACCGTAGACACTCACATTCGTGTCTTCGAGTCCGTAAGATGTTCATATCACGACGGTTGGCTCTCGTGTGTTTCAGCTCCGTCCATCAACTGGGCTCGTAGCGCAGCGTCACACGGCGGAGCGGGAATCAAGCCCACCGGCGTCGCAGACGTCTACAGCAAGTTCAGACCGGTCAAGCGCGTGTCTCCCCTCAAACACCAGCCGCAGGAGTCGGAGCCGGAGGCCGAGGGGAAGAGCAGCAAAGAGGACAAGAGCAGAGGCCTGCCGATGAACGGAGCTCTGTTTGGAGAGCTGGAGCACTACGACCTGGACATGGACGAGATCCTGGACGTGCCATACATCAAGTCCAGTCAGCAGACGGCCAGCCTGAAGAAGAGGAGCGCCGGCGGTAAAGGAGCGACGCTAGTGCTCTCCGAGAGCCTTCTCTCGCCCGTCAGCTGGCCCCACATGAGGAAGTCCAAGTCTGTGGATCAGGACTATCTCAGAGCACAGAGCGCTCACGGATCAGAGCCGGACCTCGACAAACCTGACGGCGGCTCGGCTGCGTTCCCTCTTCAGCCGGCCAAAGGCCCGAAGCAGGACAAGCCCTGGAGAACGTTTGGAGAAGCCGACGAAGAAGCCAAGAAGACGCAGAACATCCTGAACATCGTGAGAGAAGGACAGATCTCTCTGCTGGTAAGAGCCGTCGCCATCTCCTCCGACATTTATTCACTTTCAGATTTTTATATGATGCTTCTCGAGGTTAGTTTAGAAAGTTTATCGTTTTTTTGCACCAGTATTATCCTCATTTTCACTCTCTCAATTTGAAGGGGCGTGTCCCCTCGCAGAGACGGAAGTGTGATTGGCTGACTTCATCACACTGTAGCCACGCCTCCTTTTCAGCCATCGTGTGTTTTGACCAAGTGGCACCCTCCCGCTCTCTCTCGTGAAGCCAACACGGAAGTGACTAAAACTGTAATTCATCGACTGGCCGCTAGAGGCTGGCTCTGAAAGAGAGTCAGTGCCATAGACTCCTCATGTTAAAATGCCCAACTTTACAGCAGAAAAAAACATGTTTACAGTCTGGTTCAAACAGTGCTTTTGGTCTATATAGCTAATTTTGCCCTTCATGACGACTGTGAGGGGGGTGAATTTTTTTTATAGCTCATCCGTTTAAATTATATTAACCCTTAAAGTTCTACATAATTAAGGGCGTGGCCACTTGAGTGACAGGTGGATTGCCGCTGCTGTCACCGCCGTCGAGCTAGGTGGGCGTGGTTTCAGCAACCTGCTCCCGCCTCTTTGCCCATTTTCGATTATCCGGGAGTGACGCGCTGCCAAGATGGCGACGGCAGGCTCCGCCCACTTTGAGCTTCAAAAACGCTCTTCAGAAACCTACGGGTGACGTCACGGACACTACGTCCATGTTTTTATACAGTCTATGGTTTTGACACTCGAGATGTGATTGAAGCACTAGACAGGCAGACGAAATGCAAACAACGCAACCAAATATCTGAATACGGACTACTGTGAACAAATTGTCTTAAAAGACGACGACAGCTACACAGTGTGTAAAGGGTTAATAATAGCAATGGTAGCGTGAACTGTAATAAAATACATTCGACTGAGTTGTTCAGAACCTCCTTGATTACACACGGCAACGACGCGTGTTAAAGTGCATGTCAAGTGACGTCACAGTTCTCCCGGGTGTTTCGTATTTGATACATCAGGGCCTCTTCGGTCACTTTTGACCAAAAAATTTGAAATTTTGAAATTTTAAAAATCGTTGCTTTGTTGGAACGGTACGGAATTTGGTGACTTTTATGGCATTTGGTTTGTGAACACACAAAAAAAATTGAGGGCATGATTGGAAAAGGCTGGTGGTTGTAAAAATAATAAATAAAATCACACTTGTAGTCTTCACGGTCAAAAATGACCACCATAGGAAATGAATGGGAAATAGGACAAAATGTGAAAATACAGCAAAATAATTTGCGTATACAATGTATAAATCAGCCATGATGCAGAAAGAAAAGTGCACAGCTAGTGTCTATTTTAACCTGAAATACTGCAGTAATTGAAAATTATTTTTTTTTAAATTTGAAAAAAATTGCATTCCTTTCAATGGGAAAAATGGTTCATAATTATTGCATAAATATTAATTGGTACAATAAAATTCTCTCTAATTACAAAAGGCAAAAAATTATTACAGTTTTTCTGAAAAAAAAATATTTACATCTCAAGTAGGGATGCACGATATTAGCTTTTTGCCGATATTTTTCAAATCATTTTGGCCGCTAACCGATATATATTTCCCTTTGTTTTGAAACAACACCAAGTCTCTCTGGAAATTATAAACCAAATTATTTTGGTTAGTTTTGAGCAAAAACTCTTTTGTTAGAACTAATAAACATTATGAAAGCCTTGAAATAACTATAATAAAATCAATCTCTGCTGTTTTTGTTTTTTCCGGACAGATGCAGTTGACATCTTAACATTTCAGTTGTGGATTTAACATTAATAGATGGTCTAAAGCAAGAGAGCTGTAAAAATTAAAAAAATATATTTTAGAGCTCCTTGTATTTAAGTTTTCATAAACCATTTGAAAAAGACATATTAATGATTATTAATAAATTATTTAATTTACAAGTGTCATGTTTGTGATTTTTATTCATGTACGCTATAGTTCTGACCTTTAAATCTAAACAGACTCGTGATTTTATGACATCAATTACTGCTTTATTCAGAAACACAAGTATCTTTATGATATATGTGTCCCTGCAGCACAAAAGCAGTGTTGAGTCGCTGGGGGATATTTGTAGCAATAGCCAACAATACATTGTATGGGTCACAATTATACATTTCTCTTTTATGCCAAAAATCATTAGGATATTAAGATCATGTTCCATGAAGATATTTTGTACATTTCCTACCGTAAATATATCAAAATGTAATGTTTGATTAGTAATATGCATTGCTAAGAACTTCATTTGAACAACTTTAAAGATGATTTCCTCAATATTTAGATTTTTTGTAACCTATATATCAAGAGAGGTTCGATTCTCTGTTTGATGACGTGATGTGACCGTGTGTGTCTGCAGCCTCACCTGGCGGCGGAGAACCTGGAGCGCATCCGAGACGAGGACGGGAACAACCTGCTGCATGTGTCTGCGGCTCAGGGTCACGCCGACTGCCTGCAGCACCTCACCTCGTTAATGGGCGAGGACTGTCTAAACGAGCGCAACACGCAGCAGCTGACGCCCGCAGGCCTCGCCGTCAGGGTACGACACACTCACACACAGCGGGTCTGCATGCTACAGCAGGGTCTGTGAGCTGATGGAAATTGGCTAGTAGGTGCAAAGAATGCTTTTTAAGCATGTGTGCGTGCATGCATGCATGCATGCGTAAATCATAGACATGCATATTTAAAATAAATAAATAGGGCTGCACAATTAATCAAAAAAAATTGAAAGCACAATATTGGTTTAGTGCAATTCTCAAAAGGCTGGAAGCAGAAGCCAGATTTGTAACAAGAAGCATTTATAAACCTGGTGTCAATTAAACACAGACTTTAAGGTCTTCCTGCAATTTAAAAAATAGATAAATAAATAAAATAAAACCTTGAGGGTTCAACATGTGAAAGTGAACAAGATAAGACCTCACTATTGTAACTTAGTGTACCGGAAAACACAGTTATTATTATAATTATCAAACATTTATTTTTATTTTATAGTACTATTGTATCATTACAGCAGTGATATATTTCTGTCTTCATCTGAGTTAATAATAATAATATAAAAACATCTGTTTCATATTGTTCACATCACAATATCTAACAAAATAGTAATTCAAATGATTCATTGTAAAATAAAAGACGATCAATATAAAATGCTAAATAAAAAGATATATAAATCTAAACTTTTATTTGTCTAAATATATTATTTGTTCACCTGAATGTTATGTGACTAAAAATGAATGAGATCTTTTAAAATAGATAGAAATAAATCAATTTAAAAATAGTAAAAAAAAATATAAAATATTTGTTCACCTGAATGTCGTGTGACTAAAATTAATTTAATCATTAAAATGTAAAAGCAAAATAACTCAATTTTAAAATAATACAATTTAAATAAAACGCCTACTAAATATAAAAGATGAAATATTTTATTTGTTTAGCTACGTCTTAACCATTAAAGGGATAGTTCACCCAAAAATGAAAATTAGCCCATGATTTACTCACCCTCAAGTTATTTATTATAATATATTAAATAATGTCCTGGCTCTTCCATGCTTTATAATGGATAAACACTAGGGGTGCTCCGATCAGGGTTTTTGAGGCCGATCATCTGCCGAGACCGATCTTTTTAAAGCCTTCTTTTTGTCAAAAAATGCATTTTCAGCATTGTGATTCTCTTTTATCACAGTGCAGTAATACAATCTTTCACAGACATGTTTAAACACAATAAATATAAGCAACACATTATTCAACGCTTTTTACTTTTACACATTATAGATTTATATATTAAGTTGCTCGAGCAAGTGGCGAAACATTTACTTTTCTTACGTTATCACAAACTTACCATTGATAGAAACGGTCAGCTCTACTGCCTTTCCTTTTGCATTGAAATCTTTATTACAAGCAATCCTGCGGTTCATAAAGAACTTTGTTTTCCTTCCTGCCATCTATTATTGCCTTCTTTATCTAAAAGTGATCTTTTCCTTTAAACCTAGCCAAAAAGCCATATGTGTTGACTGTACCTCACCTTCAGCATTATAATTATTTCAGAGACCGAGACGGTGTCGAGCCAAACCTCTCACAGCAGCGTCATCAGCTTGAGATCGGCCTTTTTTAGAGACCGCCGATCAATCGTCCCAACGTGATTATCGGCCGATAGTGATCGGTAGCCGATCAATCGGAGCACCCCTAATCAACACAGGTCCGGGGGGGTTAATAAAGGCCTTCTGAAGCGACGTGATGCGTTTGTGTAAGAAAAACCCCCGAAGCCATGTGGCACGATATTAGCTTTTTGCCGATATTTTTCAAATCATTTTGGCCGCTAACCGATATATATTTCCCTTTGTTTTGAAACAACACCAAGTCTCTCTGGAAATTATAAACCAAATTATTTTGGTTAGTTTTGAGCAAAAACTCTTTTGTTAGAACTAATAAACATTATGAAAGCCTTGAAATAACTATAATAAAATCAATCTCTGCTGTTTTTGTTTTTTCCGGACAGATGCAGTTGACATCTTAACATTTCAGTTGTGGATTTAACATTAATAGATGGTCTAAAGCAAGAGAGCTGTAAAAATTAAAAAAATATATTTTAGAGCTCCTTGTATTTAAGTTTTCATAAACCATTTGAAAAAGACATATTAATGATTATTAATAAATTATTTAATTTACAAGTGTCATGTTTGTGATTTTTATTCATGTACGCTATAGTTCTGACCTTTAAATCTAAACAGACTCGTGATTTTATGACATCAATTACTGCTTTATTCAGAAACACAAGTATCTTTATGATATATGTGTCCCTGCAGCACAAAAGCAGTGTTGAGTCGCTGGGGGATATTTGTAGCAATAGCCAACAATACATTGTATGGGTCACAATTATACATTTCTCTTTTATGCCAAAAATCATTAGGATATTAAGATCATGTTCCATGAAGATATTTTGTACATTTCCTACCGTAAATATATCAAAATGTAATGTTTGATTAGTAATATGCATTGCTAAGAACTTCATTTGAACAACTTTAAAGATGATTTCCTCAATATTTAGATTTTTTGTAACCTATATATCAAGAGAGGTTCGATTCTCTGTTTGATGACGTGATGTGACCGTGTGTGTCTGCAGCCTCACCTGGCGGCGGAGAACCTGGAGCGCATCCGAGACGAGGACGGGAACAACCTGCTGCATGTGTCTGCGGCTCAGGGTCACGCCGACTGCCTGCAGCACCTCACCTCGTTAATGGGCGAGGACTGTCTAAACGAGCGCAACACGCAGCAGCTGACGCCCGCAGGCCTCGCCGTCAGGGTACGACACACTCACACACAGCGGGTCTGCATGCTACAGCAGGGTCTGTGAGCTGATGGAAATTGGCTAGTAGGTGCAAAGAATGCTTTTTAAGCATGTGTGCGTGCATGCATGCATGCATGCGTAAATCATAGACATGCATATTTAAAATAAATAAATAGGGCTGCACAATTAATCAAAAAAAATTGAAAGCACAATATTGGTTTAGTGCAATTCTCAAAAGGCTGGAAGCAGAAGCCAGATTTGTAACAAGAAGCATTTATAAACCTGGTGTCAATTAAACACAGACTTTAAGGTCTTCCTGCAATTTAAAAAATAGATAAATAAATAAAATAAAACCTTGAGGGTTCAACATGTGAAAGTGAACAAGATAAGACCTCACTATTGTAACTTAGTGTACCGGAAAACACAGTTATTATTATAATTATCAAACATTTATTTTTATTTTATAGTACTATTGTATCATTACAGCAGTGATATATTTCTGTCTTCATCTGAGTTAATAATAATAATATAAAAACATCTGTTTCATATTGTTCACATCACAATATCTAACAAAATAGTAATTCAAATGATTCATTGTAAAATAAAAGACGATCAATATAAAATGCTAAATAAAAAGATATATAAATCTAAACTTTTATTTGTCTAAATATATTATTTGTTCACCTGAATGTTATGTGACTAAAAATGAATGAGATCTTTTAAAATAGATAGAAATAAATCAATTTAAAAATAGTAAAAAAAAATATAAAATATTTGTTCACCTGAATGTCGTGTGACTAAAATTAATTTAATCATTAAAATGTAAAAGCAAAATAACTCAATTTTAAAATAATACAATTTAAATAAAACGCCTACTAAATATAAAAGATGAAATATTTTATTTGTTTAGCTACGTCTTAACCATTAAAGGGATAGTTCACCCAAAAATGAAAATTAGCCCATGATTTACTCACCCTCAAGTTATTTATTATAATATATTAAATAATGTCCTGGCTCTTCCATGCTTTATAATGGATAAACACTAGGGGTGCTCCGATCAGGGTTTTTGAGGCCGATCATCTGCCGAGACCGATCTTTTTAAAGCCTTCTTTTTGTCAAAAAATGCATTTTCAGCATTGTGATTCTCTTTTATCACAGTGCAGTAATACAATCTTTCACAGACATGTTTAAACACAATAAATATAAGCAACACATTATTCAACGCTTTTTACTTTTACACATTATAGATTTATATATTAAGTTGCTCGAGCAAGTGGCGAAACATTTACTTTTCTTACGTTATCACAAACTTACCATTGATAGAAACGGTCAGCTCTACTGCGTTTCCTTTTGCATTGAAATCTTTATTACAAGCAATCCTGCGGTTCATAAAGAACTTTGTTTTCCTTCCTGCCATCTATTATTGCCTTCTTTATCTAAAAGTGATCTTTTCCTTTAAACCTAGCCAAAAAGCCATATGTGTTGACTGTACCTCACCTTCAGCATTATAATTATTTCAGAGACCGAGACGGTGTCGAGCCAAACCTCTCACAGCAGCGTCATCAGCTTGAGATCGGCCTTTTTTAGAGACCGCCGATCAATCGTCCCAACGTGATTATCGGCCGATAGTGATCGGTAGCCGATCAATCGGAGCACCCCTAATCAACACAGGTCCGGGGGGGTTAATAAAGGCCTTCTGAAGCGACGTGATGCGTTTGTGTAAGAAAAACCCCCGGAGCCATGTGGGACACTTTTATAATGGATGGGTGCAATTTTTTGGACTTCAAATGTTGGGCTACCATCCACTCCCATTATTAAGCATGGATTAGCCTGGACATTATTTAACATAACTCCGATCGTATTCATCTGAAAGAAGAAAGTTATACACACCTAGGATGGCTGTAGGGTGAGTAAATCATGGGCTAATTTTCATTTTTGGGTGAACTATCCCTTTAACTGAGATCAGAGAATCGTGAACATGCAAATGTGTCCTTAAATTACAGAAATATTAACTGAACATCTTCAAGTAAAGATTCCAGCTTACAGGGGATTCAGCTGATGGAAAACACCTGGGAATCTCTGATCTAGTGAACTACTAAACATCAGCACAATAAACAAGCAGGTTTGTTTCCAGGCGAACAGACCAGAAACACTGATGACATCATCCTGCACTCATGGGCGTTTACAGGAGTTTATCCAATCAGATGATCTGTAGAATGAGAATGTTGCTCTCTGACCTATGATTGGCTAGAGCGAGTAGAAAATCATGTTTGTAACTGTCCTGTGTGTGCGTGCGTGTGTGTCTGTGTGTGTGCGTGTGTGTGTGCGAGAGTGCGTGCGTGTGTGTGTGAGAGAGAGAGAGTGTGTGTGTGTGTCTGTGCGTGTGTCTGTGCGTGTGTCTGTGTGTGTGTGTGTGTGTGTGTCTGTGCGTGTGTGTGAGAGT